TATGTTCCTTCATAAATCTATTTCAAACAGAATTCAGTTGAAGTAGTGTAATACCGCTCGAAGCAGATTTACATCGTATCTTAATATTTATTTCTAAAAGTATTTAATGTAGAAAGGATTTTAAAAATTGTCAATTTACTATAATAAACTAAAATGACAACATAAATTAATATTATTTGGTTCTTGCTTTATTTTGAGATTTGTTTCCCCCTTGATTGCCCCCACCACGACCAAGGGCTGTAGGGCCACGTCCACCACGACCAAAAGTACCTATAAAAGAAATTATACTTTTCTGATTACGGTACAAAAATAAAATAAATATGTTATTATACCTCTTCCACTGCCACGACCTCTTTGACTCTGTCCTCTTCCTTTCATTTCTCCACGTCCTCTGGATTTCATTTGTACATCCTCTTTTACCATATCTATAACCTCGTCAGGAATCCGTAAATACTTAATTGTACTACCTCGAATATAACATTCCGGCATTCTCCAAAATTTATCACCATCCTATGTAATACATTATATTATTAAACATGATTTATATCAATAATTGGAGAAACCCTACATCGATTTAAAAAAAATGTATAATTACCCTAGATGTACATATAACCTCTCTGAGATTTATATTCATCCAACTATCACAGCTAACCAAGTGTCCATTATATGTTTCTCCGTTTTTGAGTTCTACAAGCTATAAAATGTAGGATCAAATTGTTTAACTGAGAATTAAGTTTTAATTTCGTTTAATTAGTTAAAATATAAAACATTGTACTGTTTGAAAACATGTATTCAAAACTTACCATAGGATGGTTCTGTGCTGTTCTTAATAACGATAGAGGTAACTGAAAAATAAAAGTACATAATAAGTAAGAATATTACGAACTAATATTTATTTTTCGTACAGTAATTTACAAATATACCATTTTTTATCTTTATGATGTGTATCTAAATACCATACGATTGACATCAAAACAAACTGCTCCAAACGTTCGTTCATAACATATTCAGGATAGCCAACTAAAAGTTTGTTACTTATTAGCTAAATATCATTGTATCCAATTATTTAAAAAAAAAAAAACATAAATCGAAGATTGTAAATAATCTTATTTTAATTTTGACCAAAAATATAAATACAATTGTTACGTGGGTCTTGGAAATGTTAAATTTGTCAAGCACACTATACTTCGTATAAATAATTATTACTAATTTTTACAATACTAAATACTATTTTCTCATAAACAGTATCACAATCTCCTATCTCAGTACACAAAGGAAGTATCCAAGTACATTAATAAACTTATTAATGATAATAACACCGACATAAAATGTAATTTTGTTTTGTTCTAATACGTTTCTTTTATTACTACATTTTATTAAATTCAGATTAATCCAAATTACACATTCGAAAATATTTAAACATATCATAGAACGCACTAAGCACAGAATGTTTTGTAAATACACATTCTTATTCTTCTTTACAATAAACAAGAGTGGTAACTCTAATGGTAGAATATGTAACATGATACTATCGAATAATAGTAGCTAGATACAATAAAAATTATTGTTTTGCACGATTAAACTTCGTTGTTCTGTTTTGCTGGCGTGATAAAAGTAAACTTGACAATGTAATTTAACATAGTGATAAATAGGAATATTAACTTAAAAATAGTAAAAGTTTTGTCTTTCTTAGTGTTGTTACGTTGGTTCTTGGGGAATTTGACGAAATAGTCGCCCGTGGAGCACTGAAGTACTCTGCTCACGATGATTTTAGGAAGTTAAATGAATAAGGAAAACTAACGTTGAAACTTTTAATAAACTAATAAATAACTTGATTGGAACAATAATTAACGAAATGTTTAACTATAACTTTATTACGAGATAATACGTCTGAGCTCTTTGAACGAAGAAAATTGAATTGCCTGTTCAGGCGTCGTTGACTATTATTTATAATGTTTACATGCTTTTGTTAAAACAATCGTCACCAATTAAACTAAAGATTTTATATAAAGTTATTTAAGGATGAATTTGATTGGTTCTCAACATTTGTTTATCAATACATATTTCCTTTAAAGCGAGTGTTTTACATCTCGGCAATGTTTTGTCTATAGCGACGACGATAAATATTGATTTTAACGAGCGATTGCAAATAGCAATCAATGAGATTTATTGTATACTGTATGTGCATGCTTTGAGTTCTTTTGTTCATTGCTTCGGCTACACCGCTACACAATTTAAATTTGGCGCGCTTCAACATTCACACTACGGGGCGCCACATAACACCAGATTCAGACCGCCCATTCACGGGCATGCACGGCGAGCGATTAAAACTACGTTCATGCGATAGCGTAACACAAAATTACATGAAATAAAAATTTGCGAAATAATTTTATTTTCTTTAGAAAAATCAACATATTTTTATGAGAAGGATATTCAATAATTAATTTTCAAACATAATACAATATTATCTAGTTTCTGTATGTAGTAATGACATCAGTATAAATGAAATTTCCTAAACTTGAAGATCAGTTTAGAAAATATGAAAGTAAATACTTAGAAATTATTAAATATTTTTAATTACAATAAGTATTTATAATTTTTATATGTTTATATATCATAGTAAAGATGATTTGTAATCGTATTACATCAATCACACCAGTTTTCAAATTATTATTTACAAATGGTTTATGTCGACAAAAGGTAAATGTAAATATTTGTCAATTATTAATAACTAGTAACAAATATAAATTAAATGGAAATAAATATTATTTTATTTCACTCTAATAATAAAAATGAATACAATTTTTTCAGCTTATAGTAAAATATCCTTCAATGTTAATAGCTCATGCACATGATTTAACTGTTAAAAAGCAAATATTAGTAAAAGAAAATGAGCACCCAGTTAATAAATTTGCTTTGAGGACTCATACATGTGGTGAATTAAGAGTTCAAGATGTAGGAAACAATGTTCAACTATACGGTTGGGTGGAATTTTTAAGACATAATAGATTCTTAATATTAAGAGATTCTTATGGTTCTACTCAACTTATTATACCAGTACATGTAAGTTAATACATTATACTTTATTAAGATATGTATTAAAATACATAGCTGTTTTTTATTTTAGAGGGAAGATTTGCAAAATATACTTGATAGTTTAACTCTTGAAAGTGTAGTAAGTATAAAAGGTATAGTTTTGAAAAGACCAGATGATCAAAAGAATAAGCAAATGAAAACTGGCGATATTGAAATAGAAGTAGAGTCTTTGAAAGTTTTAAATGCTGCAAAATCAAATCTCCCAATTATTATTAGAAAGTATAACACAGCAAAGGAAAGCACACAGTTAAAATACAGGTATATATCATTGAGGTACCCTGAACTGCAAAACAATTTAAGATTACGCTCACAAATTATAATGAAAATGAGGGAATACCTAATTAAAGAATGTGATTTTGTGGATATAGAAACTCCAACATTATTTAAAAGTACTCCTGAAGTATGTATATCTAAATATTGTGACATATATTCTAATAGAAAATTTTCAAATCTTATACTTTCTTCATAGGGTGCTCAAGAATTTATAGTTCCAACAAGGAATCCAGGACAGTTTTATTCTTTAGTGCAAAGTCCTCAACAGTTTAAACAATTACTAATGGTTGGTGGCTTTGACAGATATTTCCAAGTTGCTAGGTGTTACAGAGATGAGAAGTCTAGATATGACAGACAACCTGAATTTACACAGGTATGTATTTTTATAAGTATATGTCTTACATTAAATATGTATATATTTTGTATATATTATTACTTTTAAGAGTATGCTATTTCACAGCTTGATATAGAAATGTCATTTGTTGATTGTGAAGGAATAATAAATCTAATTGAAGACTTATTAGCATATTCTTGGCCTGAAAAATTAGAAAAACTGATTACTCCTTTTAAACGGATGAAATATGATGAAGTAATGGCATTATATGGTACAGATAAACCAGATTTAAGAATACCACAACAAGTAAGAATTCTGTATACTTTTAGTTTAAACTTGTTAAGTAATATTGAAAATAATATTATTAATATTTCAGTTTCATAATTTGACAAAATTAATTGATCATTCAGCATTAGAACAGAATTTAAGAATAAAATGCGATGGAAACTTCGAGATTTATGCTCTAGTTTTTTCTCAAAAGCATGTATGTTTATATACTACTTACATCTTGTTTGTTTGTTATTTATCTTTACTGATATTTTTGTTTCTAATACATTTTGTGGATCCTAGAGTTTTTTCACAAAATCTGCTAAAAATACTATTTCTGAACTGCAACGCAATTATTTTCCTTCTGTGAAATTAATACAATCAACAATATCTATCAAATCATCAGTAATAATGAACATTATTCCAGAAAATGTGCAACAAGCGTTGAATTTAAAAGAAGGAGATGTTTTGTTTTTAGCTTGTGGAGAAAAACTTTCTACAGTAAATATTAATTTATAAATTATATTTTTAACGTCTATTAATTGTATTGTATACATAAATAGTGTGCTTGAAATTACAGCAATCACTATTGGGAAAAGTACGTCTTGAATTTACAAATTTATTGGAAAGTAAGGGCCAAAAAATCCGTACCCCTGGAAATGAATTATTATGGGTTACTGATTTTCCCTTATTTTCATTTGATAGTACAACAAACTTATTGGAAAGTATGCATCATCCATTCACGCAACCTCATCCAGATGATATGCAATATCTCACAGAAAATCCACTGAAGGTACTCTTGTCGTTGAATTAGTAAATTCAATTACATTTTAGTAAATAAAATACTCATTTACTTAATAATAGGTTAATTTACCTAGGTACGTAGGTTAATTTAATTAATTATAGGTTAAAGGATTGCATTATGATTTGGTTATGAATGGTTCAGAGATCGCAGGTGGATCAATAAGAATTCATGATGGAAAATTACAAAGACAAGTATTAAAAATGTTAAATGTAGACGAATCACATTTAATGCATTTGATTGACGCTTTAGAATCTGGTGCTCCACCTCATGGCGGAATTGCCATAGGTATTTTATTTGTATTTTAGATAGCGATAGTGTTTAATAATAAATCATTAAAATAAATAAAGATTAAATTATTTTTTAGGATTAGACCGTTTAATGTGTTTAGCGTGCAACATAGAAAATATAAAAAATGTGATAGCATTTCAAAAAATATTATATCATATACGAATAATAGATCAATAAAATAATAGTCACCAAACATCTTTATATTTCTTATCTGTTGTAAAAATAATGATGAAAAACTAGCCGGTTATTCTCGATTTAAAATATTCCCTTTACACAAATTTTTCATCCGATAAAGTATATCAGATATTTTTATCAGTCTAATGGTTTGTTTGGTACCAAACATTTTACAGTTACAAAAAAGTTTGTGGTATAATAAATGTAAAAAGTATTTATATATCATTCTGCACAATTAATTTTGCAGAAAAATTAATTCAATAAAAATAGATTTATTTAAAATTAATATTTTTGCATCAAAGACACAACTTTTTTTTGATTAAAATAAAATTTAATTGCGAAATATTCTTCATGTTATTCAAATTTATTTCAAGAGCCTGTTTTATAATTTACAATATTTATGTACGTTGCAATTTTATAATACAAACAATTTTAAATAAAACTTTTTGTCTCCAATAATAAGTGTAATTAATTGTCATTTCGTTTATATCGCATTCCTCTAACTGTTGTAAATAATTATAAAGAAATCAAAATAATTTAGAAATAAGAAATATGATTGATGCAACATTCGGAAGTATAAAAATTAATAATTTATTTTTACCGTTACTGCGTCTGAACAACATTTATGATCAACAATTATATGTCATAAGTAGCAAATTTATTGCGTGAAAAATGGAATTACACGTATACCATAATCAGCAATATTTGCACAGCTTCAATTACAATAAATTCCATCGATTTACTGCATAATTGTAATTATATTGTATTAACACACGTGTTACGTAATTCTCAGTGATTAAAATCGCTGTACAATATCATATCGTTAATAACCTTTCGAAATAATGTGAACATCATCAGCCATAAAATAAAAAATATGTATATCACACAACCAAGAAACTCAAAATAATGTTTTTATATTGGGGATAATCCGTGTCGCTGAAAACGGTCGATAACGAATTATAGAAATAAAATGATAAGTCCAAATTTTAATGTACAAAAAAAATGTTTTATTAGAATCTTTTAGTAAAATCTCATGCGTTTTGTTTAAAGTAATTGCAAAGAAAAAGAAAAATTTTAATCTGCGTAATGAGTGATTAAATCGACACATTATCATCGAGGAATTCTTTTTTATGCGTACGCTTAAAAGGATTTCGTTCAATTAAAATTCCCTAATAAACACGCTGATATGTTATTACATTTAAACGTCCGTAGAAGAAAATTTCATCTTTCCGTGTTAATGTTGTTTCGACTTAGTGAACTGGAACATAGACAAATGTGTTCATAACATTTTTCCCCCCCCCGAAAAATGGGTTCTTGTCACAATTTTTACAAAGTATAACGTAAAAAGTCTTTTTCTTCTTGTGTTAAGGAATACTTAAGTGCATGATATAACATACTAAATTATACGTCTTATTTACTTCACACCCACTATACACAAGGCGTAATTAGGACTACACAGCTTACGATGAGGAAAACAAATCGTGAGTACACACGTTTAAAATCGTACATTTTGAATTCAAACATTAAAAAAAAATCGAGAACACTTCAATGTCGTTTACCATACGTGTTTACAACAATAAAAAAGTGAATAAATGGAAGTTCCGCGTCGCTGTTCCCTTATAAAATATAAATGTTAAAAATGTGCGTACTCGAAATCATCGTTGGAAGATAGTTCAGTTTCTCAACTAAATATATATTTTATAATAACGACACGTTCGTTTCTCGTATGTTCCTAGTTCTCTAAGACATCTATAATGCACTATTACGTATAACAGGTTGTTAATTAATCGACTTGACATTTTTGCGCAGAATAATATAAAATTTAATTAAAAATTAGTATTGAACGTGACTACGTTTTGTCTACAAAACACATCGACGATCTTCCAGTACGAGAACTTAACGTAGGAACTTAGAAGTCTTTCAAAAACTAGAACGTTTTAAGGCAAAAGTATTTTAAATACAAAACAATTAAACATAGACAAATTATTTCAATTGAATCATCACATTTAATATCTTCTATTTACTTCTTCTTCTTTTTTTAAATGCATTTTAATAAAACGCTCTTTTAATATTAAGATCCATTCGGTCGACACAATGTACACCTAATCTTAATTCTAAATCCCTATGTTAAGTGGCCGCATAAATCGACGATTACGACAGGGGCGTAAACGGGATATTGCGTAGTTCGAAGACGATATTTTTCTTTCGTTTTCCATCGAACAATCGCGAATAATATAATAAGTAAACGGAGCAGATGAACAACGAAAAATTTTTATTTGTTCACGTAACATTAGCCTTTTTTAATGACCGTAAATCTCCATTACGGACGATAGAATATATGACCACTCATGATAAATGAAGATTGAGGTTTGTAAAAAAAAAAGGTCATATTATTTCGTTTTATATATACAACATTACGGGGCTTTTAAATAATTTCAATAAAAAAAGAAACAAACATCTATTTACGCCCCTGACTGACACTTTAAATGTGAAAACTATTTCAAGTAGAATTTATAACCACCTGAACATCTGATCGATTAATAATCGATTTCCATTTCCCAGCTGTCGGAAGAACATTAGTTGCCGATCAGATAATGTTCCACCATTAACTTGTCAGGATATATACAAGTTCTCGTTTTTTCTGTTTGGGAACACAGTGTTTCGCATGTTTGCACGAGTTACAGAAATTCGTATCTGAGATATTCTCGGCTTGGACATTTACTCAATTATAGTTGGCAGTATGAGAGTGTTTAATCTATATACGTGGATCGATCGTGGTACTTTCAAGACAATTTAATTTCTTTAAATCCCTTCTTCGGTGCCCAGTGGAATCTCTACTTAGAGTCTGGTTGATTAAAATGCGACGTATGATTTCTTTTTTTTTTTGTTTATGTTGCAAACGTCACATTCTTAAATAACAATCGTATTCTTTCGATTTGCTCGACATAGTTCGCAACTTTTGCGCACACTGTTTCGCCATTTAGAAAAATACTATTTTACACAGCGCGGCAAGCTCTCACGCATTCGACGTCACACACGTAACGCACTCGAGAGAGCTCGCCGAACTCGAAGTTATACAGGCGAACACATCACATACAAAGAGACATTCATACACACACTCATACACCATCGTAGAATTAATAGACAATACACAAATATGCAACACAATCGTACATGTTACGCATCACGCGCATTTTTCATATAGAATATTATAACTATCTACTCTTGCATAAAGTATGTTAAGGAAAACGTCTAGAAATTCTAGAGGACACTGTGAATATAATGATATATACACGTATGACGAAGGCAGGGCTATATAATTGAACAGACAGAATGTTCACGAACAAAATATTGAAAAACATATGGTGTGAATTACACAAAATTGTGTAATATTTGTTTTATGTAGTTCTCATGAGCCCGAGCCTTTGTTACTAACAAAAGTAGACAATGCAATTTCGATCATCCATTATAAACGAACTCGCATGTATAATGAAACAAAACGATTATTCAACTAATGCAATTACATCGTATAAAAAGGATGGATTGTCGAATTGTTTCTTGTTTTTCTTCTCTCTCTTTCTCTCTCTATTTTTTTTTTAATAAAACGCTGCCTGTCCATTTGAATGCACCTGTTGGCTTATATGGTGAGATGCCGTCGTATCGTGGTGACGTAAACATTAAAATTTACCAAACTACTGTGTGAAATGATTAGATTTAACTGCACTTCCTACCATCATCGAATGTTTTCTCACCCGGCCCGCCGGTTCCACGCATGTAGATTAAAAACGATACCATATCTAGAATAATACATATACAATAACACAAGTGCCAACGTTGGCAGTATACTTTCTGAATTATTATACCTTTATCGCATGGAAGTCGTAGAAACACGAGATACCTTACTGCCGTCAATAAAGTATCTATTTAAGATATTTCACATGTTTATTGCGCATAATAAATAAGCTCGATATCTATCGTTCTTGCGCTCAACGACAGGTTGTATAATCATTGAATTTTGAATAAACTCCGTTCATAACGAGGTTAAAAAAAATATCCCTGATTTCGGACGGCCACTGGGGAATTTAATTAATGAAACCAATTTACCTAAATATGTGTTAATGCAATATGATTGTAACAATTTCTCCATGCGCGATATCAGCGACTGCGATTCTTGTTTTCATTAATCAATTATTATGGAATCGAATTGTGCACATACGCGCATATTTTCATATGTCGGTTAATTTCATGTGTACATAGAGAATTCTATTTATTTCTGAAACATTGATGCAAAATTGTTATTTTTTTCTTTCTTTCTTTCTTTGTGCTTTTCAATCTTGTTTCAAATAAGCAAGTTAAGTCAAAAACTTTCAATTGAACAATGTATATAAATGTATGATCTTCTATTAATGGTGTATTATACATCAATTTTTTTTGGCATAATGAACCAAAACAGTTTAAGTTTCTGACTTTGTCAAAGTATGATTAGACATGTAATCAGTAATAAAATGCACATATAAAACCTTTAACTGTTCAAATGTCAATTAATGATATACAATTCACAGTTTTTGTAGCGAACAGTAGATAATTCCATATCATTATACTACACACAGGTACACAAGAAGGAATTATGTACACAAGATGACATATCCAAATACTAGCAATATTTGTAGTATACTTTGAGAAACAAGAGAAGTGATGGTGTATCACGGTTCTTAAATGTTGACAAGGTATTATGATGGTCACGTTCATCGCACCACAGAGTATATGATGATGAAGATGATGATGATGGCAAAATACATAAACAGTGCATGACATACTCAAAGCGAGCCAATGAGTCAAGTGGGCCGATCTCTTGGATATTGTAGCCATTTTTCTGCTTCTTGGGTTTGTTCCAACACCGGCGTCTCATACGTCGGCTATTTAACTTTGTACATAATGTAAATGCAATTTCTGCTCATTTAAAATACCCAAGAACTGTCTGTTGTCATTTCTTCTTTGAAACGATGTCATTTTCAGTTCCTTCTTGCACAAAATTAGATTAATTCTTGCGAGCATTGCCCAGTGTCTGGTGCATTGATTTTATGCACTTTCATCAACAGTAGGTAACCAAAATGCCATATTAGTACAAGCTGACGCTAACATCATATACTTAGGATTGAACTGAATACACTGAACTGGTGCAGGGTGATCTCCATTAAGCACGCAAACTTTATATCCAGTCTCAGCATTCCATACATGCACTCTACCATCTGTGGATCCACTGAATACAAACTGTGAATCAGGGCTAAAGCTGGCTTCAATTGCAATTCCTTTGTTATTCAAGTAACCAGCAAATGTTTGTAAAGGTGTACCATGAAATGCATCAATCAAACGAATTGTACTACCATTCGTGGAAATTAAAATGGTTTTACCATCTCTGCTGAACTTTAGTCCTGTCCAATCACACTCTTTTTCTTGAGACAATTTAAATGTAACAAATGGCCCCTTGTCAAAACTGCGTAAATCATATAGTTTTAAAAACTCTGAATTGACACCTGCTGCAAAAATTAGACCTTCTGGATCATATGCAGCAACTGGACGCCCCGAAACATTCATAACACCATGACAATTAGGTGAACGTAAATCCCATAGTCTTAATGACTTATCTAGAGAACCAGAAAGAAATGTATCTTCTATAGGGCTGATACATAGTGATACAACTTTCTTGCTATGACCTGGGAAATATCTGATATATTTGTTGTCGTGCAGGCTTAGGTAGCGGATGGTATCATCAATTTTGGTACTGCTGTGTATTGCAGTGTTCTTTGCATGGGTGAAATGGATTAAATCTACACCATACTTCTTGGAATTAACTGTACGCACCTGAGTGCCTTTCTCACAATCATATATTACGATCTGGTCATCCTCCGAACAGGAGATCAAGGTGTCCCCATTTGGTGAAAAGTCGATGCTATTTATGCGATCAGAATTCTCACGGAAAACCTTGGCCACCTTGAAGCTCCTCACCACGTGGTCAACGAGCTTCATGGTGATGGACGGCGCGTTCTCCCTTTCGTGCCGTCCTCTTAACCTCCCCGCTTCCGCAATTTCTTTCTCCTTCCTTTTGATATGGCCTAGGCGCCGAGGCGCGAAGCTTCCGAGGAGGGGTCAGGGGTTCGTCTATGTACCACTGTTATTCACCTCGCGGGAAAGAAAAAACCCGCGGGGAGTTCAAGAGGTCAGAGAATCCAAAACGCAGTTGAACTACCACCTTGTTACCCTTAAGTTTCTTGATGTCCCTTTTCTCTAAGTATTAGATTCCCTTCTCAACTAAGTTGCTTTCCTTTAATTTGACAAAGGGCTCCTTCAATGTCTTCTCTCTTTCCTACGAACGGACGCCGTCGGCAGACTAGCGCACACCGCACGCACAAATTCTGCCAACTGTTTAGAGAAATGGATGACGAATTACCGTGAATGTTCTCAAGATACTGTAGATTCATACCGTGAGTAAAGCTATCGATCTGCGTTGACGTCCATGCAACGTCGCCTTCGAAGAAACTGTTTTATCGCGAGAAACTTCAATTTGAAATTTATGTATGAAATTTTTTATTATTCATCAAATTAAATTTTGTATTTTAAATAATGTTTAAAATAGTTAAAAATTTTAATTTTGAATTTGTTATTCCAATAATAGTGTATATTTTCAAATAATAATTTCGATATATTGTCTAAATTGCGTGTATGTATAGCATTTTACTGCACTTTAAATATTTAGACAAACGAGTATAACACATTTTTGGATGAGAAATATATATATACTTTATACAAATTTAAAATAATACATAAGATATTTGTCAATGCAGAATATGAAATAATTTATGCATGTTACAAAATTTTTTTATTCTTTAAGTGTAATTACAGTATAACATAATTTCTATAAAATGTAATAATTGATCAGAATACGGTCTTATTATATAACTTAAATTAGTTTTATATTTCCTTTATAATCAATTATTATTATTTAAGCATTTCTACAAGTTATTTTACGTACTTTCATGTAACTTTTGATTATTTGTTCTTCGTTTTTAAGTATAATTATGTCCAAACCATACCATATATTGGTAACAATTAATATAAAAAATATAAAACATGCTTTAAGATTGGTACACCTGT